GCTGCTGCTGCTGCTGCTGCTGCTGCTGCTGCTGCTGCTGCTGCTGCTGCTGCTGCTGCTGCTGCTGCTGCTGCGCTGCTGCCGCCGCTGCTGCTGCGCTGCTGCCGCTGCTGCTGCGCTGCTGCCGCCGCCGCTGCTGCTGCTGCTGCCGCCGCTGCTGCTGCTGCTGCTGCTGCTGCTGCTGAGGGTGCAGGGTTTGGACTTTTGCTTGCTGCAGGCTGCAGAACGTGAAGTTCATTCAGGAGAAAAGACTTATTGGCCGCTTCTTCGAAGAAGTTGCACAAGACACCGGCAAATATGTCTTTGGGGTTTTGGAAACCCTCCAGGCCCTCGAGATGGGCGCGGTGGACATTTTGATAGTTTACGAGGCCCTCGACGTCCTCAGGCAAACCCTAAACCCTAAACCCTAAACCCTAAACCCTAGCGCAAACCCCAGCCTAGCCCTGAACCCCGAGTGCGGGGCTCCAGGCGCTGCGGCCCCGCAGGGGGCCCAGCGTAGCAGAAGACGCTTGCAGTCGCAGTGGCCAGAGATTAGGGTTTAGGGTTTAGGGTTTAGGGTTTAGGGTTTAGGGTTTGGTGGTTAGGGTTTAGCTTTTGGGACTCAAAGTTGAGGCTGCGGCCCCGCAGGGGGCCCAGCGTAGCAGAAGACGCTTGCAGTCGCAGTGGCCAGAGATTAGGGTTTAGGGTTTAGGGTTTAGGGTTTAGGGTTTAGGGTTTGGTGGTTAGGGTTTAGCTTTTGGGACTCAAAGTTGAGGGTTTGGAGGCTAGAGTGTAACGCTTCTGAGTCGCTTATCATCTTCAAGTTGCGCAGGGCCTGGCCCCAGGGCGCAGGGGCTAGGGTTTAGGGTTTAGGGTTTAGGGTTTAGGGTTTAGGGTTTGTGGTTTGTCAGGATAACGCTGAAGCAGAGCTGCGGGGAAACGAAGGTGGTGTTCGCGAGCGCTGCAGCAGCAAAAAAGGACTTTTTGAACAAAGAAGGAGAAGAAGCAGAAGTGGAAATTATAAATCAAGAAACCCTCACGGAGTGGCTCGTCAACAACTACAAAAACTTCGGAGCCCAGCTCGAATTCGTCACCAACAAGTCCAAACCCTAAACCCTAAACCCTAGCAGCAGCAGCAGCAGCAGTGGAGCAGCAGCAGCAGCAGCAGCGGCAGCAGCAGCAGCAGTGGAGCAGCAGCAGCAGCAGCAGCGGCAGCAGCAGCAGAGCAGCAGCAGCAGCAGCAGAGCAGCAGCAGCAGCAGCAGCAGCAGCAGAGCAGCAGCAGCAGCAGCAGCAGTAGTAGTAGTAGTAGTGGTAGTAGCAGCGAGAAATAGGTGCAGTATTTGGGTCAGCTTTGAAGGGGGCCTTTTAAGATTTAGGGTTTAGGGTTTAGGGTTTAGGGTTTGGGGTTTTCGCAGGTCGCAAGAAGGGTCTCAATTTGAAAAGGGTTTTGGAGGTCTTGGAGGGATTTTGAGATATAAAGTGGACTTCTGCGAAGAAGAGGAAGCAGCACATCACGAGGCAGACGAGGAGTTCATCTAGGGTTTAGGGTTTAGGGTTTAGGGTTTAGGGTTTAGGGTTTAGGGGCGAGGCGCCTATCTGATGCTCTCTCGAGCAGCCAAACCGACAGGTTATACAGAGCCTTCGGGTCTTGCTGCAGTTCGCGCTGCTGTTGCTGTCACCGCCCCTAAGCTTTTGCTGCTGCAGCAGCAGCAGCAGCAGCAGCAGCAGCAGCAGCAGCAGCAGCAGCAGCAGCAGCAGCAGCAGCAGCAGAAGCAGCAGCAGCAGCAGCAGCAGCAGCAGCAGCAGCAGCAGCAGCAGCAGCAGCAGCAGCAGCAGCAGCAGGACTGACGGGTTCCGAAATGCCATTTGGAAAAGGGGACACGGGAGCCGCAACTTGCACTCAATTGGTCTTCGAAAGAGCAGCAGCAGCAGCAACAGCAGCAGCAGCAGCAGCAGCAGCAGCGGCAGCAGCAGCAGCAGCAGCAGCAGCACTAGTAGCAGCAGCAGCAGCAGCGTGGGCGACGCTGCTGCGCTGCATAGTTGGAACTGTTCAGAAAGAACTCATTAGGACTTTCTTCGCTTTACTTTAATTGTTATAAACATTTAGTCAATTTATTATTTATTTATTTATTTATTTATTATTTATTATTTATTATTTATTTATTTATTTTATTTATTATTTATTTATTTATTATTTATTATTTATTTATTACTTATTTATTATTTATTTATTATTTATTGTTTTAATTCATTTATTCTTTAAACTAATTATTGTGAATATTTAAATTATTTATTTTAATTTATTTTCATTTTCTTTTTTATTTTTCTGCACTCTTAACTGCTTTGCTGAAGTGCCTTTTTGCACATTTGCATTTATATTTATATTTGAAGATTTCTTTTTCTTTTATTTATTTTTATATTTATATTTATATTTATATTTATATTTATATTTATATTTATATTTATTTATATAAATATAAATAAATATAAATATAATATATATTTATATTTATATTTTATATTTATATTTATATTTATTTATTTAGTTTAAGCAGTGCAACTGACACTTGAGTTCAAGTTCATTTGCCCATATCTGAACTTCTGGAAAAGATTGATTTGCTGCTGCAGCGCAGCAGCAGCAAACTGCGCAGCAGCAGCAAACTGCGCAGCAGCAGCAAACTGCGCAGCAGCAGCAAAATGCGCAGCAGCAGCAAACTGCGCAGCAGCAGCAAACTGCGCGGCAGCAGCAAACTGCAAAAGAGGCTTCGAAAAGAATTAAAATGGAATTTAATTTGCAAGAAATGAATTTAGTGGGGGTAAAAGCCCAGAAAGTCACTTTGCTGCAGCGCGGCGGCGGCGGTGCTGCAGTCGAGCTGCAGCGCCGCTGAAAAGGATTTAAATTGTTTTTAATTTGTTTTAATTTGTTTTAATTCTTTTTTAATTTGTTTTATTTTGTTTTATTTCATTCTTTGTTTATATTTGGCGTTTGAAGCGCAAAAGAAGAGGAACAAACAGCGGCGCTCGGCAGTGGCCCACTCGCCCGCCCGCGCTGCGGTGCTCCCGGGGCAAAAAGTGGAGCCAATTGCAGCTAAATGGAGCTAAATGCATTTGCAATTAATTTTAAAAGATAAAAAGTCCAAAAAAAGAAACATTTCAGCGAATAGATTGCAGAAAGCTGCTGCTGACCGCCGCGGTCACCCAGCGGACGGCCGCAGCGTCTCGGGCGGCTGCAGCGGAACCTGCCTGCTGTCAGTCTTTGCAGCTGCAAAAAGAAATAAATTTGAAGTTTTTTGAAGTCCGTTTGCAAATCCAAACAAATTAAACTCTTTTTTTCTCCAGTTCGCCGCGAGTTCTTCTCTCTGCGCCCGGCAAAATGGAAAAGGCGGCAACGCGCACGGCGGAGGTGAGCAGACGCTGCTGCTGGGAAACTTCCTTCTTTTTCGAATTTTCTCGGCAAATATCAAATAAAATAAAACAAAAAACTCAATTTTCGGAGTATTCCGCGTTTTTATTGGAGCTTTCCGCGCGAATTTCGAGTGTATCTGCAGCTCCCCTTGTGTTCAGGAACAAACTGTCCTTGCAAACAAGGCTATGGAAGACGCCGAAACCTCTGCGACGACTTCTCCAGCCTCTCCAGGAGTTTGTTTGCTTTTGATTGAGCCTTTGACTCCTTCCGACTATGTCGAAAACTTCGCAGCAGGTGCGCCTTGCCTCCAGCTTTCACCAGCAGCAGCAGCAGCAGCAGCAGCAGCAGCAGCAGCAGCAGCAGCAGCGAGGGCAGCAGCAGCCAGATCGCAGCAGCTGTCGCAGCAACTCCCACTTTCGAACTCACCACACATTTGCCTCTCAAAAACACCAAACAGGGAACTTTCTGCTTCGACGGAAGCTGCACCGAAGTGCAGGTACAAACCCTAAACCCTAAACCCTAAACCCTAAACCCTAAACCCTAAACCCTAAAAGACACAAGCCCTAGTAGGCCCTAAACCCTGAACACTTAAGCGTAGAGTTCGAATCATTGAAACAGAAAAGGCTCCACTCAAATTTCCTCTCGAGGACCTACCGCTGCCACTGCTGCTGCTGCTGCTGCAGCAGCAGCAGCAGCAGCTGCTGCTGCTGCTGCTGCTGCAGCTTCTAGTGCTCTGCACGATATTAGTCCTTCGCCTCCCCAGCCCCCTAATTTGCGACTCTCACTAAACCCGCCACCACCCACCTGCTGCCGCCGCTGCTGCCGCTGCTGCTGCTGCTGCTGCTGCTGCTGCTGCTGCTGCTGCTGCTGCTGCTGCAGGACTCGGACACGGGGAACTGGGCCTGCCGCTGCGTGTGGCTGCGGGGCCGCGCGCTGCAGCGGCGGTGGGGCCCCCTGGGAGTGATGTTTGACTCGCGTTGCGTTTTTGCTGCTGATCCTTTCGAAGGCAGCAAAGTCGAGGGGCCCGTCATGCTCTTCGTCGTCAGTTGCTGCTGCTGCTGCTGCTGCTGCTGCTGCTGCTGCTGCTGCAGCGGCAGCAGCTCGCGCGTCCTCCTCTTCCTGCTGCTGCGACGGACGCTGCTGCTGCTGCTGCTGCTGGAGAGGCGCTGCTGCTGCTGCTGCTGCTGCTGGATAGACGCTGCTGCTGCTGCTGCTGCTGCTGCTGCGGCGACAGACGCTGCTGCTGCTGCTGATGCGAGAGACGCTGCTGCTGCTGCTGCTGCTGTGCTGCAGTGGACTTTCTACCCAAAGGGCAAGGCGCCAATCAAATGCATGCGCTGGCTGAGGAAGATTTGAAAACTGTCGCTGCAGCAGCAGCAGCAGCACTAGCAGCAGCAGCACTAGCAGCAGCAGCAGCAGCAGCAGCAAAAATGAAGACTTTAAGGGCGCTGTAATTTGTGCACAACGCCTCGCGCTGCCTCTGAGGTGTACAGACACCTCAAACGCATGCACCTCTAGCCGTTTCGAATTTCCTCCAGCTTGTGTTTTTGTGAAAACAAATTTAGTTAAAATAATATATAATTTAATTATTTTAACTAAATTTGTGAAAACAAATTTAGTTAAAATAATTAAATTATATATTTATAAAGCAGGACAAACTCAAAACAGCAGCAGCAGCAGCAGCAGCAGCAGCAGCAACAGCAACAGCAGCAGCACCAATCGCTCTGTGTGCTTCCTTATTTGCTCGCGCCGTCGCTCTTTCTTTGTTTTTATTTCCACATGAATTGTGGATTAAGTAATTTGCTGGTTTGTTTCCTCATTCGGGGTTTTTGTTGCTGCTGCTGCGCTGCAGCAGCAGCAGCAGCAGCAGCAGCAGCAACAGCAGCAGCAGCAGCAGCAACAGCAGCAGCAGCAGCAGCAGCAGCACGCGCAGCTGCTCCCCCCCACTTTTCGAGGCTTCGCACGCGCGCGAGTTCGTCTGCTTTGTTCTTTTGTGTCCTTTCAAGTAATTTGATTTATTATCTTTTGCTGCCTCTTTGCTGCTGCCTCCCCGCAGCTAGCTAGCCACCAGCTAGCTAGCTAGCTAGCTGGCTAACCTAGGTGCTGCTAGCTAGCTAGCTAGCTAGCTGGCTAACCTAGGTGCTGCTAGCTAGCTAGCTAACTAGCTAGCTAGCTGGCTAGCTATCTGGCTAGCTAGCTATCTGGCTAGCTAGCTATCTGGCTAGCTAGCTAGCTACAGTCAGGCCGTCAGCCGTCCCTGCATTGCCGCACAAAAACCACTCCCAATGTTTAAATCGGTGTCTCAAAGTAACAAATGATGAGCAGCTAGCTAGCTAGCTAGCTAGCTAGCTACTAGCTAGCTAGCTAGCTAGATGACTAGCGAGATGGCTAGCTGGCTAGCTAGCTCTACATTGTGTTGGAAAAGAGAAGCCTGCTCCGCACCACACAAGGCAGCTTGCCTGCCCCCAGGCCTAGCTAGCTAGCTAGCTGCCCGGCTAGCCGTTTAGCTAGCTAGCTAGCCAGCTAGCCAGCCAGCTAGCTGGTTGCCTCTCCATCTAGTTAGCCTGGCTAGCTCTCCAGCCAGCTAGCCAGCTAGCCAGCTGGCTCACTCCCCAGCTAGCTCCTCAGCTAGATAGCTAGCCAGGCAGCTAGCTAGCTAGCAAAATAGCTGGCTAGCTAGCTAGCTAGCTAGCTAGCAAGCAAGCAAAATAGCTGGCTAGCTAGCTAGCTAGCTGGCTAGCTAGCTAGCTAGCTGGCTAGCTAGCTGGCTAGCTAGCTAGCTAGCTGTGGGGCTGGGTGTCGAGGATTTGGGCCTCGACTCTGGCGACGTAGTCCCTGGCTAGCTGCTGCACTTGCTGCTGGCTGCTGCTGCTGCCGAACTTCTTCTCAGCAGCTAGCCAAGCAGCAAACAGCGGCTTCATCTTGCGGGGCTTCAGCGGCAGCTGCGTGGCGCGCTGGAAGAGGCCCCGCACGGCCCCCAAGTCGATCCCCCGATC